TTACTGCAATTGATTGAATTGTTCTCAAGTTATACAATTACTCTCACATTTTTCGGGTGTTCATATAATGTTTAATGCGTTACAGAAATTTTCTCTGAGCAAACCAAAGTTCGGAAATTCCCGGAAATTTTCTCGTATAGCTTCCATGATGCCAACGGTAGTGCGTCCCAGTAAACAAACAGAAGTTGATTCATCATAATGGTGTACGCCGCCACTCTTCGGCAGGGCTAGATCAGAGGATCTGGATGCTTTCGGTGTATTTTCTGTGGTTTGTCTCGGCTTCTGGCATGGTGGCATACATACGATGGCACTCTGGAAACCAAGAATTTTTAAGGCAGAGAAGTTGTTGCTTGCTGATTGTACCTGCCTACAGTTGGAGTTTAGGGGTTTCCAAAAGGCTGGTGGAAAGTGTGCGTCCGAGTGTCGAGTTGAATAAAGCAGGTTGTGCTATTATCGGAAATGATCGACTGTAAGCATAATACATTTCAGGAAAAGAAATTTTTTTAAATATCGTCCTTCTTGCCTGAGATAGGGTTTTGGACGACCCCTTCTTCACATCCAAACACATGACAGGGACGGCTGGAGGTCGCTGGCAGAAATAACTCGACTGTGATGGATGAATTAGGGGCTTCCATAACACATATGATAGGCGTGCGTCCCGATGTACACACAGTTCGAAAAAGTTTTGTAAATTTATGTTACAAAGATGCACATCAATGGAGCGTCATCATCATACAAGTTTACGTTTTTGATCATGTAAAGTTATGAGACATTTCATGAAATATTCCAAACATTGTATGCAACAATTCATATTTGTAAGCAACATTTCTTACAAGTGACTAGTTTACGTGAAAAGGAAGTTTAGATACATGAATGTTTGCATGCATGGATGTTTACATCTCCAGTATAATTCAGCATTATTTTCTGTGCACCTTAGGTCAATAATGAAGGAGTTCATTGTTGAAGTTCGACTAGATGTGATAATCATTTCAGGGACAGAATTATTCAGAAAGCGAACATACTTGCCTGCGGTTGTATTCTGGAAGACACCCTTTTCGGGCTCATACACAGGACCGGTACGACTGCAGGTCGATGGCGGGATGGTCTCGACTGTTATTAGGATATCAGGAGCTTCCAAAATGCTAGTCAGCGCCCCGGTATTCGGTTGATAAAATTGCAGTGTTGAGGTTCAAGTTCTTGACCCGGCAATATCACTCCATCATAGATGAATGATGTCTGGAATTGGCGGACTTCGGAGTTGTTTGCGGTATGTTCATTTGTAACAGTCCTTGAGGCTTCCAAAAAATTTCGACTCCGCGGGAAGTAAAGCCGTTGGTCCCCGGTTCATGAGTTGATGGGTCGATAGGTAGGGTCCAGGTGTGGGAGATGCCTCCCTGGGGTCGGTAGCATTGGTGCTCAGCACGGAAAACAAGATCGACGGAAAACAAATCAAGGAAAAAAAACTTTTGACCCTAAAGGATGCAATATGCAGTAATAAGTCCAAAATTCATTATTCTCAATGGAACTGAGAAGATAAATGCAAACAACTTTCAATGAGGGGGAAGTTCCTACAAAAAATCATGATAATTCCTTCATATTTCTGTTTTGATTTCCAAGACAAAACTAAGATGAACGGAGGTGAACCAGCCTCAGGCTGAAAGCCTCCATAATAAAGAAAACCTAACTTAACTTAACTAAGATGAACTCCTAGGAAATTCTTAGTAATATTCAAAGGATTATTCCAAATAGTGACTTTTAAAAGGAATTATTAGAAATAAAGGGAAACCTCGCAAGAACTATTAAGAATACTAAGATAATTGTAGATTGAATTCTAAGAATTTTGTAGAGGTATACAGAGAAATTTAAGACTGTTGAAAAATTTCAATGGAGCGCCAGAGGAAATTATAACATTAATCAATGACATCAAAAGAAAAGCAAATCTGAAGGCATCTTGGGATGATTCTAAGGAAATACTTAAAAAATTACAAAGATTTCCAATGAAAATTTATCTTCTGAAAATGTAGAAATTATCTGCATAGGTTATTCAGACCTTTGATAATTTGCTCAGTCTTTGGGCATTGAAATTCAAGATTCAAGATTAGGTAAATAACTTTCAAACTTCTGAGCCTTCGAACAGTTGTTAACATCTCATGCTTACAACATAATTAAGATTCCGGTCTAGGAAAACTCTTCAAATGGGATAGTCTGAGTCACACGGGACGAGTTGGAGTTGGACACAGAACTTCAAAAAATATATGATGCTAAGGACTTTTTAAGATTCTTTATTCCCGACTAAGGAAAATTAAGTCGAAAAGTTAAGTGTTTCGCCTCTGAAAAGCACAACTCAGTTTCCATACACAGGTAGAGCGAAACAGAGGAAAAAAGTACACATATTTGATGTGATTTTTTAAAGGCAAATTCATGACTCTCAAAAAGTGACTTAGGTGACTAAATTTTAAGAAATAGTGACTTTAATGACATTATGGAGTAAAAAGTGACTTTTTAGTGACTGTCTTGAAAATAGTGACCTAGCCACTTAAAAGTGACCTGCTACCAGCCCTGTAATCAAGTAGTGAGCCAATTTTAACTCGTTTGTTTCCACCGGTTGATATTACGCTCAAGATAACAAAACAAACGATAGTAAGTAATGGGACTCGACTCAAAATGTAGTCGCATATTAGTCCCATCTGATTTCATTCCACATATCCTAACGAAAGACCGATGCTATCAATGTATTCAAGTTACCAACGATAAACTTATCTGGCAATGAAACTATTTTGGCCATAAGGGGCTGTTCATTAACAACGTAGACAGTTTTTTTGGGATTCTTGCCCCCCCCCCCTCTCCCCTGCGTAGACAAATTTTAAAATTTTTATGGGCCGTGGATAATTAACAAGCCCCTAAGCACTAGATGCAGCTGAAAAACAGCAAATAAATATCTTTAATTTTCTCCATACGAAGATTTTTCAAATGGGATGTTCATGTATTTTATTACTCAGGGTGCTTTCGTTTTGGTTGTTTTAACGGTTACAGTGAAAAAATTGACAGGTAAAGTGACAAACATTCCTCAGTAACTATCAAACTGCTCTCAATAAAAACAAAATAAAAATTTGAGTGAGATAAAAAATCGCAAAATTGTCCTAGCGTGTTCGAAACGTACAGCAAAGTGAAAACAATATTTTACACTAATCGTAAACTGAAATCAAATTACGATTTCAATTTGATGATGAAATCAAAATTGGTTTTCATTATGCTTTTATCTATAACCAACATTATTTTTTATTTAGGGTAAATGACGGCTTCGGCACCCATTGACTGTTTTCAACAACTTCAATCTGATTACATTTTTACGACTGAGCAGTCTGATTTTTGTCTGATTTTTCTTTAAATGAAATATACGCACTACAAAACGTGGTTGATTTCGAGTTTCCGATAATAGTTCGAATGGAAAGAATGCCGAAGAAAAAGAGACTGCCGACAATAGTCACACTCACGTGAGAAGTTTCAAATAGTTTTGAACAATCGATCGATTGCAATGGATAGAGAAGCAAGCAGCTGATAAATTTAAACAAGCAAACACGTCATACGTGTACGTGTCGCTGAAAAATGCTAATAGAAGCGCGGACGCTGCTTAGATTGACGAGAATACGTAAATTCACTGACATTTTTAGCCGTAGGCTAGTTTATCTCACGAGTCAAGAACCAACACTAAATACACAAAGCTCACCAACAACTAAACATAATCCAGGCATCTTACAGGAAACGAATCGATTTATTTTCTAATAGTCAACTGTAAAAAAAAGTGCTGGAATAATCTGTGTTATCATTTCAATCACACATTGATTCTTATTATGAATGAATTTCATGAATCTCATGTACAATGATAACTAAAAGATGCTAAATCGAATGGAATATTCCATAAAATAGTCAGGAATATAAATCAGAACGGCAGATAATTCTTATAAAATGGGTCATTCTGACTAATTAGCACAATTTCTAATGGGGTCTCAAAGATTGATAAAGAAGATTCAATAAACCGCTTACCAACAACCAAACGGACCTTCCTCAACTCGTTTACACGCTTTATTCCGGATCTGCAGACAAATATCACCGAAACGATCGCCAGCCACAGTTTATTGATTGATAAAAACAAAACCCAAGCAAACCCGCAAACGCCGCACCGATGCATAATTCACCAAGAAAGTACATAAGTCAAAATTAAATATTCAATAAATAACGCATAAAATATACAAAACAACCCGCACGTTCGAGACATTATATTCCGGTGTGTGGTGGACAACGGCGTCATCGTGTTCGGGATGGCTTAGCCTAAAAGCTTTAGCCTTGAACTCGCACGGCCGTCGATTTTGGCGTAGACAGAGCCATTTATGTACTGTAGTACCCGACTTCTACTAAATGCGGAGGAGCGGGTTGCGAAAATTCCGCACCGCTTCCAAAATCGGCCCCAGCAGCGAGTGATTTGCGATGAAGAGTCCGTTCATCACGAATTCTAGTTTACATACGAGCCATCATTCCGGGGCAAGAAACCGCACCACTTCAACTCACACTTTCCGGAGTAGCTGCCATTCGTCATCGAAACCTGAACCCGGAGCGTATGTATGAGTTTGCCTGTGGTATGAAATTGCATTTTAAGCAACCAAAGTGGTGGCCCTCGTACGTATAAAAGTGATGTTTCTTTATGCGACACAGGTTGAAAGTATACCTACATGTTGTTCTGTCAGCATCACCACACCAGCACACCATCACAGCATGAATCTATGCTATATGGGTATGTATGCTGTGTTTGTTGTATTGAGCGAGTATGCCGTGTAGAGAATTAAGAACTACCAACACATCCACAGCTCAACACCGAAAAGCTGTTGCATAGTAAAAGACCATGTGGCATTTTCTCATCGAATGTTTGTGTGCGCGCAAGGAGTCGGAAAGGGAGATCCAATAGCCCGGGTGCAACATAGATCGTACTCGCTCACACCACTTACCTTATGAGATCCGGAAGGCGTTCCACAACCTTTGGGTGTGTCTGCTTGAGTGAGTTTGTCGGCGACAGTGCAACGGTGCAGGCCAGTATTAGCTCGGTGGATAGCTCGACTGGGTACAAAGGACACTTCTCCTCTGGTGTCTGTCGGAAAGAAACAAAAGAATATACGTTAATAACTCAGCATAAAAGTTAGATCAAATAAAAATTCTCCCGAAAGCCGACCAGAGATATCTTTATAGCAGGAGGTTTTAGGACAGACAACAAATCTGCGCTCCCAGACTGGGCCGAACCGATTGCTAGACGGGCTGAAACGTGCTAGGGCATAAATATGCCCATGCTGTCACCACTCTTCCGTCAAGCCCGTTTTCTCCACGTAGATTAAGAAACGAATTCAGTCTCCGGTGCTCCGTCGCAAATCGTCGGCGCGTGTCCTTTCCCTGGTATTGATTTTCGATTTGTGGACTAGGTATTTATGCCGGAAGGTTTGTGCTCCTTCTAAAAATGTAGCGACGAGGGCCACCCTGAAACAATGATGGTGGTGGCTCTACTCAGTCCCCTTAGCCCCACTTGTCAGCACTTATCACTGTTGCGCTCTGCTGTACATAATCTTATGTCACGTCTATGTATACAAGCGTTGGATGGTATATAAAAGCCTTTTCCGGGGAAAACTCGAATCCGGAACATAAGTAGAAAAACTGAAATGAAGCAACGAACAACCGGCATATGTACGACACTTCTTCCAACCGCAATTCACGCACAGGCGGTACCCATATATCTACTTGAATGCGACAACTTTAAGCTCGGCTATTGTCATGTTAAAGAGGTATTTTCCGGTAGGTACGGAGATTTGCTGCCTTCGTATCGGGGAGTTGTATTTTTTTATATAAAAGGTCCCTGGTGTTTCATTTAAAGTTGTTCAGTACATTTCAAGTGAGGTTCCTTATTGAGCATTACATGCTTTTTAAAAAGTCTGTAAACTTCAAGGATTCAGCCAATCTTGTTGTAATGGTTGGTCTAAATGTAAAGGGCATAAATGGTTTCTAAAAGACTCGTTTATGTTTTTTAATATTTATTTTAAAAAAAATAGTATACGTAACTGTAAATTATCGATTTAATTAGCAAATAAGCGAAAAATATGATTTCGACTAACACAGAAATGTGAGGAATTACAATGAAAACAAAACACCATAATATCGGAGAGACTATCAATACATAACAATATTGAGATCCGGAACAGCAAACTTAGGCAAAACCAGTCAAGCGAAGAAGCCTAGAAAAAGCATTTTTAGAATAATTCTACTCTTAGAACTGGCGTTGCGTTTTTTTTTTTTTTAGGGAACCGGTTTTATCAAGTCGGAGGCGGCAAGTTCGATTCCCGGTCCGGTCTAGGAAATCTTGTATTGGTTGGCAAAGAAAGCTCTCAATTTAACTGTGGAAGTGCATCTAGAACACTAGGTTAAGATCAATCGAAAGGTCGTGTAACTGCATCAAAAGCCAAGCCAATTTTCATTGATCCATTAGGTTCCAAAAATGTTCAACGAAATTTAGGAAACTTACTAATGTTAGTCATGGCAAAACAACTTTAGAAAGCAAAGTGCACCTGACATCACAATTCGTTATGTTGCAGAACTATGATAGATAAGTGACTTTCAACTAAAACTTATTTAAGTTAACTTAAATTCAGAGCTCAATTAAAAAAATATAAAATAGCAAACGTTGTGATTAAATAAATGGAAGGTCACTTTGATTGTGTTAATGTAGCATATAACAACCACAGACAAACAGACATAACACATTTAATATTTCTCACTGTAAAACATTACCGCCATCTGTTGAGTACACTGTGGTGGGTAGTACGCTGAACAGATGGCAGTAGTGTGTAAACGACAAACGCTATGGAATTGACTATGCGCGCCACAGTTGGCGGTACTAGAAACTACGATACTTTTAAATAGACCGTTAAATGCTTGTTCGATGAACAACTTGCGCGTGTTAAGTCTGTTTGTCTGTGTAACAACCAACATATAGTTCTTCATAGTTGGAGTTGCTATTTATGCCAAAGAATCAGTTCAATTCAACCTTCGTACCAACGAAGTTATTGATGGCAACTGGTTCTTGGGCATTACAGTTGTACGTGACATGAAGATGAGTAATTATGGTGTTTTGTATCATTCTCCCAGTTCTAGTGACCAGCGTTTTGTTGAAGTTTTAGAGAACTGGCTCGAGACATTCCTTGATTCTAGTAAATTAAACATATTAGCTGGTGATTTTAATATTAATTGGCGTGATAATTATAATTCGAATCATTTGAAGCGTTTAGCTGAGTTTTTTAATTTAAAGCAAACGGTAAATGAGTATACGCGTATTTCCAGGCACAGTAGAACCACAGACAAACAGACGTAACTCTTCATTGTGTATCTTCGTTCACGCATTTAACGATTGATTTGAATATTATCAGTTTCGCGAACTACTCGCCGCAGCGCTAACATCGGATCACTTTGACGTTTCTATACATTCTATAGAACTTTCATGCAATATTGTTTGCGAGTTAGGGAGCAAGCTTTTTTTCTGCGAGAAGCCTGAGAGATGTCGTTACTGAGGTCCTATGTTTTGAGATACTATGTTTTCAAGAAAAACTTTTTCAAAGAGTTACGTCTGTTTGTCTGTGGTAGAACTTTAATTGACCACGTTTATTCCAATTTTGATTCCATTTGTTCAGTTACGGATACTGATTTGAGAATAACCGATCATGAGACTTTAGTGATTAATGTCTTAGACCATGTTAACGATAACGATAATTTTGTAAAATTGAAGTGCTGGAGGAAATATTCGATGCAAGCTGTTTCGAATCTTGTTGAGAGAAGCGTGGATTTTCCATTCGCGGGCGGTAACTTAGATTAATCTACAGCTGTTCTTAAAAATGCTTTGAAAACGTGTACCAATTAACTAGTTGAGCAAAAGTTTGTTTCGTTGAAAAACTCGAACAGCTGGTACAATTGGATCTATTGCGTCTTAAACGGAATCAAATAATGACAATCATAGGACTAGGTACACAATCGCGCGTAATCGATAAAGAAAACTCGTTGTGAATATGTACAAAGGAAGATTGATCAGCATCAAAACAACAGCAAAGAGTTATGGATAATTTTGAAATCTTTATTAAAACCAAGTATGTAATTGCAAACCGCGGTCCATAACTTTTTAGTAATTGCAGCTAAGTTTAATAATTATTTTGTAGACAGTATTTCATTGATCAATCAATCCATTGAATTGGTCGATGATCCTGACGAAATAAAACAGCCAGTTAATAGTAGTTGTAGATTTAAAGGATTTCACCCAATTACATTAGATGAACTTAGAGTTATTTGTTTTTCATTAGGAAAATCGGCTGGAGTAGATAATGTTAATGCTAGAGTTATTCAAGATTGCTTTCATGTCATTGGCCACATCTTGCTGGACCTTATTAATCAATCATTGCAAACTGGACATGTGCCACAAATTTGGAAGGAATCCTTAGTGGTCCCTATTCAAACAGTTGCTGGAACGATTAAAGCCGAAGAGTTTCGTCCCATCAGCATGTTGCACACATTAGAGAAAATTTTAGAACTTGTTGTTGAAGGCCAGCTGTTTGAGTATTTAAATAGTAATAGTTTGTTGATACCAGAACAATCGGGATATCGGGAAGGTCATTCTTGTGGAACCGCGTTGAATTTGGTATTATCGAAGTGGAAAAATAACTTGGAGCGCAAAGATACGATTGTTGCTGTTTTTTTTTTTATCTAAAATGCACTTTTGAAACAATTTCGAGGCCTTTATTTTTAAGATCAATCAAGCGCTTGTCTGACAGAACTCAACGGACTGTTTTTAATGATTCTGTTTCCAGTCCCGGTGGGAATAACCTTGGAGTGCCCCAGGGAAGTGTATTAGGGCCCCTGTTATTTATTATGTATATTAATGACTTGCGACGTGTTTTACGATTTTGCGACATTAATCTTTTTGCAGATGATACTGTGTTATTCATTGCAGCTAAGGATTTAGATGATGCCGTTTTACACTTGAATGAAAATTTGCGTTCTATAAGTAGATGGTTGAAGTATAAGCAGTTGAAATTGAATACAAGTAAAACTAAATTTATGGTAATTTCGCGAAATCGAGTAAATGAGAACATTTCTGTTGTAATTGATGGTGAGACTATTGATCGCGTTCGGAAGATTAAATATCTTGGGGTGATTATTGATGACACACTTAAGTTCAACTCTCACATTGACAATGTCATCAAGAAAATTGCCAAGAAGTATGGAATTCTATGTCGACTGAAAAACAATTTAACTATTGCCAGTAAAATACAGCTATACGAATCAATCATCTCTCCTCATCTTGACTTTTGCCCTTCCATTTTATTTCTGGCCAATGCAACACAAATATCGAGATTACAGCGCTTGCAGAATAAAATAATGCGTTTGATTTTGAGATGCAATAGATTCACTTCCTCAACTGTGATGCTAGACGCCTTACAATGGTTGTCGGTGAAGCAAAGAATTGTATATTTGACTATGGTGTTCATTTTTAAAGTAGTTAACGGTTTGCTGCCTCGATATTTGTGTGATCGAATTGAAAGAGGAAGTGACTGTCATAGATATAATATTATTATTATTTATTATTATTTAACTTTATTAGGGAGGCTTTCAGCCTTGGGCTGGTTCGCCTCCAATAGATATAATACTAGAAACGCGGCTGAAATAAGAACACTACATTTCTTGACTTGAGCTTACCAAAATTCATTAAGCATGTTTTCAATTCGATGCCTAGACATATCAAACGTTCAGCAACACTTACAGAATTGAAAAGACACTGCATTTCACACGTTAAAACTGTCTTTTGAACAGTTATCCAGTGATTTTTTTTATGAATTGACAAATTATGTATCTTGACGAAGTTATCTCTAACGGATTATTTTATATGGATAGCTGTCATAACGACTTTTTAATAATTATTGTAGCACTGCAAAAACTATTTTTGTTCGCCACGATTAATATTTGATTTAATTGGAAGATTAATTGAAAAAAAGTAGTCTACAAAGGTTTGAGCCTAGCGCGCGTACTACGGATATAGAGGACTGAATTTAACATTTGATAAAAAAA